CATCATAGTCATGATATTTCGGGTTGAGCCGGGTTGCTGATTCTGGGCCATCGATCGACATGCAATAGCAGCCAGGACATCTCCTTCCGTGATGTAAGGCTCCTTGTCAGTGCTTGTAGTAGTGATGCTCTTAAAAGCAATTGAACTCCTGGATTCGCCGATCACCCTTCCCATTGTGCTCTTGGGGATGCAAAGGATTAGGTACTCAAGAGGGGAACGCCTCGACTCGTATAATGACCGCAAACTCCAATAAGCGAATCGCCAGCCTGTCAGCTCTGTTCCACTGAGGACATGCTTTACTTCTGTTGGAGGAACCAATAGACCATTCATGCCGTCCTCGCGGAACCCAACAAATGGAGGGACGGCATCTAACTTTCCAGCTAAAATGAGACTCCATGCGTTAACCAAAGCAGTAAATCCGGAGAGACCACAAGTCATATGAGGGTGAGATACACCCACGATGGTACCATCAGCGAAGGTGGTTACGTGCAGCGAAAATTGAGGCAGATCCGAATAGATGAAATCTTCAAAGTTACGAGGCGCTCCAGGTCCTAAGGCCAAAGAATGAAAAGCCCGCGGGCTTGGATATATTGCAACCTTGCCTGTCGCTAGTGGCAATTTAGATGCTACTGGATGCTCGCTCATGCGTATATGATGGTTCTCCTTGCTGAAGTGCAAAGGTGGCCGCTCCTTTGTGAAGTGGACTGGGATGTGAATCTCCAGCTTGCCATCGGGCTATTTCGTAGAGGTTAGCGTGGAACTATATCAGATATATCGAGGGTGGATCTTTGTTTAGAAAATAATGTATTCGCTTACACGACACCTATATCTCCCACCGAGTTTCCGCCAGCCTTCCATATGAAAAAGCTGGCATAACGAATCACTAAGCTTGTCGGGATCCAGAACCTCGCTAAAACGATACGTCCACACCATCGTGGCCCGACGCAAGACGGGCGTGTCATCGAATAAATGTACCGGAACGACCTCATCTGTCGGCACAACTGGCGGTAAAGGTCGCTGGGCTTTGAAGAAGGGGATATATGAGAGCAGCGAGGACATACTTTTCGATTATAGAGATTTGTCGGTGTGTACTACTGTGATCTTGGAGAAATATGACAGCAAAGAAAGTAAAAGAGGGGCTAACTATTTAACGGATTGTTATTTCGCGCCAATCCTTCCTTATCTATAGAGCTATCCTGGTGTATGTTGTATAAGCCATTATCGTTACACGTTCATTCGAGATTGTGAAAATAACCGAACTCATGTGACATATCTCCCCTTTGCTTACCACTGCTTCATCCCAAGAATAAGGCCCCATGAGTCGGCTCATAGGTCTCCTATCTCTAGACCCCAGTTGGTTTAGAGTCCGGATTTAAATCCTTCCAAACTTATGGTGACCTATGATTTAGGTCCAAAAAGTGGAAACCCAACTTATGGGGCCTAGTCGCTCTGATGCCGTTTAAGACCTACAACTTGAGCTAACCTTGCATGGCAAGTCCAAAATCACCTGGGTCACCCAGGGCGCCACCCTTCGGGGCCTAGCTCACACAAGTGGCCCCTTCTGAATACCTAAAAGCAGCATGCTTGGCTGAGCGTAAAGCGAGCTCGCTCTGCAAGTATGTCGTAATGTACTGCGAATACTGATGCATCGGACAATTGTAAGCGAGCTGATGCATCGGAAAACAGTAAGACGAAGAGGAATGATGTGAAAGTCGGTCATAAGGAAGGCGATTCTAAAGGAGAGAAGGAGAATGAGTAAGAAGATCAAGAGTAAGATTGAGACGAAGCTCCACTGGAAGCCGTTTGAGCTTACAAAGAGTTCACCGCAACGATCCAAGGCCTTGAGAATGCTCGAATGCTCGGGGCATGGCGCGTACGTTTTGATTCGCATCATGTAAGAGATCAGCAACTTCAGCAACCCTAAATCGGCTCTTGAACAAGATGGACTGGAACCGCATAAAAGGGTATTATTACTTAGGGAACGACTTCTAGGTAATAATTCTTGTTGATTAAGCCGAGCTGCCCTGAATTTCTCAATAGCTGACCGCTTATGCTGTTTCGGTCGGACTAGGCATTACGACAGATTATGAGCAGGACAAGGAAATAGGAAATGGTGCTCAGCAAGGCTGACGTATTGAAAGCACTCAAAAGCAAGGCTTAGGACCTCTGATATGCTGTTACATGATGTGATAGTGGGTCATGAGACGGCAACATGTGTGTTAAGAAATCTTATGAATGGATCATGTCAGGAGCGCTTAAAAACGGACAGCATGAGGATGATCGGGGCCAGTTCAAAATCCTTCTGCAGTGCTGCGAAATGTCAACTAGCCTGCAAAGAATTCTTAGGGCACCGCAGTCAAGCTTTCTAAGTTAGTCAAAGGCATTGACAATCGGTGACTTGAAAAAGTCTTGATAGAATGGATAACATGGATGGGTGAACCGCTACGAAACTAAAGACCAAAGTCGGGAAAATAGAAGTTTTGTAAACATACCGGGGCCTTATGTGCTGTGTCTTGATAGTCTTTCGACGCTTTGATGCCCCTTGAGTTAGCAGAGTGGAATTCTCAGTCTTGGCCTGTCCGCATCAGCGAGGATCTCGACACAATGGCGTCTGACATAGGGAGATATCTTATTTGAAAAGCTCCATTTTGGCTTCAGCCAGGGGTGCAGTCGTAATCCTATTCATATATGTCCAACTCAATATGGGGTGCTTCGTTGATTTCTTTGGCACGTGGTTGGTGGAATGGCCTCTTCGCCGTTTCAGATCGACAAGCTCCGCCATGGCGCCTCCACAGTACCCTTATCCTCTCACATTCTGGGCTGAACTAAATGCTCTTAGTGTGACAACCACGCAGCTGTGAACTAAACCTAGAGCGACAAGATGCAACTTAAGTATGGCGTTAAAGGAAGTCATCTGATAGTTATATAAAGTCATGGACGTTGAGATGGAAGACTTGGAAAATGAAACATCCATCGACTCCTTTTCATTCCGTTCTAACTTATCGGCGCTTGCGCTGTTCATTCGTTACGTTCAACGGCTATCGTCTGCCATACGTTCATTCTATTATGCCCTAGAGGCTGCTCTTGCACTTTTCTCGACTCTCAAAAGCCTGGATAGTGACTAACAAGTGCTTGATTATCATTCAGGATGTCTTTTGTATTATTTGCTGCTCTGGCCCTCGTGGCCTCCTTACCTTCTGTCCTGGCACATTACAATTTCGAAGCCTTGATTGTCAATGGAAACGTCACGGGCGCCTATGAATTTGTCCGCCAAACTACGAACTCCAACTCTCCTATCACTGATGTGACATCTGATGATTTCATTTGCAACCAAGGAGGCTTGGATGATGACATCATGGCCAAAACGAAAACGAAAACCGTCTCCCCGGGCGATGAAGTAGGCTTCACAGTGAATGTCGAGATTGGACATCCAGGACCTCTTGCTGTATATATGAGTAAGGCGCCCGAGGACGCATCTGCTTACAAAGGTGACGGAGATTGGTTCAAAGTGTATGAACTTACAACATCGTCTATTACGGATGCTGGTCTTCAATGGGCTACCTATATCAATAATGCTGGCAGTAAGCATCTCCCCAGTCTCATTCTCGTCATATCACCAGGATGAAATCTCTAGGGAATTTCACTTCGGGCTGTAAAGTTGAGCTAGACATGTCCTTTCTTCCTTCTCTAGTTTTCTTTTTTCTTCTACCGCCTCGGATAAGACAGTTATTGATGGTTATACAGTTCACAACTTTACTTTTCAACTCCCGGAAGACTTGCCTGCTGGCCAGTACCTGATGCGTGCAGAGCATATTGCACTTCATGGTGCCGGTTCATTCGGCGGTGCTCAGTTCTATATTGGCTGCGCCCAATTGGCCGTCTCTGGATCTGCTTCGGTTTCTCCATCCCCTACCGTAAAGATACCCGGAGTTTATGATGGCAATGAGCCGGGTATTCTTATCAACATCTACTGGCCCATACCTACAAACTACACAGCTCCAGGCCCAGTCACTTGGCCAAACGCTTGCATCGACCACACCGCCAACCTCAACGGACAGAATAGCGATGGGGACTGCACAGGCTCAGATGCTAGCGACGGGGACGATGAGAGCAGCCCCGTCCCATCAGATGCTGCATCAATTACCAGTGCCATAGTCTCACCTACCAGCGAGTCAACACCACTTACGAGCCTCGACATTACATCACCGGCTGCATCTGCTGTCATCACCATTCCGACTTCGTTTGCAAATAGTACGGTTCCTACGCTCTCTTCCCTAATCATCTTGCCGACAACCACAGGATCGAGTTGTGCAGGGCGCCGAAGGCGCCGCTCGCACAAGCATTAAATGTATGATGCATGGGGATCTTTTCGTGAGAGACTGTGTTGAACAGATCTGTCTTCACTATGTATATATTCATTCATGTCTGTATATCAAAATTCTTACGGATAGCACTGTCTAGCATAACCAATGGGTCAAGCTTAGATGCACAATATCACCCTAAAGTTTCATAGACATCTGAGGTCTGCTATTCCTAGTTAATGGGAGCAATAACTTCCGAAGAATCAAGTCCTCAACAAACCATGGAAATAACCCTGCATTGAATGCTTCATGCTTAGCAATATAAGCTAAGCATTGACACGTCGTTGGGTTAGGAACCGCAGCGGGAGGTGGTATTTAATCGCAACACCACAACTTGACACTCATTTACGATGAAGTCTCGTTTAATCCCGAGTGTGGACGATATACTAATATTGGAGGGAGGGATTCATTATTAAGGTAATAAGTGTTTAAGCTTCCAGAACGGGCGATGATTGGTCTTGTCTTGATACTATCTGGAAGAAAGACGAAAGAGCTTTGGATGAAAGTTTGTTCATTCGTAACTAACTATCAATGGCTAATTGCAATGACCATTATATCGTAGACAGTATATACAAGATGGAGCCAGGCTCCAGGTATGGAGTGGGCACATGCGTAACCATTCGACGGTCAATACCAGGGCTAGATTCTAGCTTGAATGTCCTTCTCCTTCTCATCCTTACCAGCACCGCTCCAAGTAACCAAGCCTCGGTTGGTGATTGTGCCACTCTTAGTCAATACCTTTCTCCGACCACCTGTGGTAAGCGGCGCGTCGTCATCATGGTCACGGATGTAGTAACCCCAGTCCGCTGTGTCATCGAGTTCGGTTTGTGAATAGCCATTTCCTAGCCAGGCAAAGCGATTACCGACATACTTCACGTCAAAGTCATCGAAACGGACGTCTTTGACAGCCTCTATGTAATGCAGAGCACTACCAGGCCATAGAGCAATAACCGGCCCGTCTGCGCGAGGCTTATACCAGCTACGGCACTGGTCTGCCCAGACTGTGCGTTGCATGAACCAGTCCTTGTATTCGATGAAGTCACGCACTGCTTCTTCGGTCGGCGCAAAGGTGGCAATGTTGTTGACCTGGAAGCGGTCGATCCACTTGCACATCCAGTCGGCTTGGGCTTCGATGGCTGACAGCACAGGACCGTTGCCAATGGGGCAGTTCGGACCAAGGAAAATCAGATAATTAGGAAAGTTGGCAGCAGCCACTCCAAGATAGCTTTGAGGGTCCACGGCCCACTTGTCCTGCAGGTTGTCTCCAGCCGGGTTGACGACGGGGAAGCGTGGACGGAATGAAGTATCGAAGCCAGTAGCGCAGATCAGCACATCAACGGGATATTCACGTCCGTCGTCACACAGGCAGCCCCTTTCGGTGACCTCGTTGATCTCTCCATACACGACCTCGACGTCAGGCTTAGTCAATGACTCGAGATAGTTCACTCCTGGCGTAAGACGACGACAGCCCACACTCCAGTCAGGGATGAGCTTCTCCTCCAGGAACTGATTATTTAGCTTCTCTTTCATCTGCTGTAGCATGTAGGTGTGGGTGTCTTCGTTGACCTTGTTGCGCTTGAGGAAAATGCCAAACTGCCCGTTCAATCCCGACTCAATCTGCTTGCGGTAGTCGAGCAAAGTACCTGGCTTATTGACGAAGTCGGAGCGCTCTGACGGTGTATACACATGTTGTTCAAGACCCTGGACAGGAGACACCCAGGTCGGCTCGCGGATAAATGTGGTGATCTTCTTGCACTTCCCCCTAATAGCAGGCAGAACTTGGATTCCCGATGATCTAAGATCTTGTTAGAGTGTCGTTATCAAGAGTGATAGACGACTTACCCATTGCCTATGAGGCCTACATGCTTACCCTCCAAGCTGACAGAGTCATCCCAGTTCGCAGTATGCAACAATGTGCCCTTATATTTGTCGAGTCCCGGGATAGCAGGCCACTTCCAGTTGTTGAGGACACCGCCAGCATTGATGAGAATGTCGCAGTGGTCAGTAATCACCGTACCATTGGCAACATCCTTGATCTTGACATCGTAGCCACCCCGTTGGCTATCCCAGTAGGCACCAATTACTTGATGCTGGAGTTTGACGTATTGATGAAGATTGTATTTTTGCGCGAAACCCTCGAAATAGTCGAAAATTTCCTTTGCTGGTGGATATACGGAGGACCAATCAAGCTTAGGCTCAAAGCTCCAGGTGTAGTTGTGTGAAGGGACATCGCAAGCACATCTGCCCCCGTGTTAGTCGCATTCGCTTGGGTTGGGGAAATCGATAGCCGGAGCTTGGCGGAGATCACTTACCCTGGGTATCGATTCTCCCACCATGTTCCTGCAACAGCAGGATTCTTCTCGTAGACAGTCAAGCTATAATTGTTGAAATGTCTTTGCATCTTATATGCGAAAAGAAGACCCGAAGCACCTGCACCGACACAGATAATGCGGAGGTGGCGCTCCGCGTGGATTGGCCCATCTAGCCTCCGTGACGCATCCCGTTCGAGCGGGGAGGTGGCCGCCTTTGAGAAGAGACCGTCTGCCATGTCTAACGTGCACAAATACTACACTAGAACAATATAGAGAGCGGACGGGTATCAAGAGAGAGAATATAGAGTACAAAGAAGTGGAAGTAGAGCTTTCTGGGGAGAGGTGAGCTTCTATAGCTCTGATGGGTGGATTCTCATATCAACGGGCTAAACCTCCAACAAGGTTGTCCGGAGTGTCGGAAATGTAATAGCTCAGAGCTGGTAGAGCACTTCCACCGACCAGCTCCAACTACCAGATACTAACCATGCGGCTTTGCTAGGTGTGGCATGTATGCAACTAAGCATGTGGCCACGCCACTGCTCTATTACGAACTACGTCTGAGGGAGGGGATTGTGGACAGCAGTACCAAGGTACCTCTTGAGTCATGAAATTCTCGAGTCAGGTTGACGCATGACAGTGCAAGTTTATATGGCAATAGATTTCCTGCCTGACTCGAGACAAGCAGCACGCTTGGACAGACAGCGGTAAAACTGTGCATGCTCACAGAAGGTGTGCGGAGAAGGGGGGGCCTAGAAGACAAAACATAGATGAGGCGGCAGTGTAGTAGCTAGGTGTGAGGGTCTAAGGGACGCCATGTTAGTGTGTCCGTGCCGTGTAAGTGCCATAGAACGCGGAGACGGCAGTGTGGAGAAAGTTGGGGAAAAGGTCTTCGAGCCGTGGGGTGGCGGTTCAGGCCGGGAAAAGTCACCCGAACGGCAGCCCAGTAGTCTAGACTACCGTAGCCACGGGGCCACGGGGGCCACCAGGATCTTTGCAGAGCCCCATCAAGTAGCAAATAGGAGCCCTTGTCTTTCTCCTCTCTCTTCCCAGTCAGCACCTTACTTTGACCAAATAGCGACTGGTATCTGATGATTCATTAGCTCACCTCTAAAAGGGGCCAGGTGGTGGGAGCAGAGTCTGCACATCCAGGGTCTTTTGAACAGAATTTCTGTAGAGTCCACAGTAACACATTGTGTGTGCTGTCCAGTACATTGACAAGACACATCGTATAATTCCAAGCAATGACAGGGTATTATACCTCAACTTGTGAGCAACTCGCACTACAGATCGATAACATCCAAGCTCGACATGAAGGGTACTGGACAATTGTTGTCAGGCCGTTAAAATGTTGATCTTGATTCGTCTATTCAAAGCGGTTTCAGGTCATGGGACACCAATTCTATGGTAGTCACAATATATACAAAATCTTGTAGAGTCTTCGCCATTGAAAGTTTTCCTATAGCCTTGCCTTGGATCCCTTCTTCGCAATCTCTGCGGCATCTTTCTTTGCCCAATCACGCATAGTCTTTCTTTGAATCTTACCGCTCGCCAGCTTAGGAACCTCGTCAATGAATACAACGCCACCGACCAGCCATTTATGTTTGGCGACCCGTGACTTGATCCATTCCTGGACAGCCTGAGGCGTGATTTTGCCTTTTGAAGCGTCTTGAATCACCACATATGCTCGTGGCCATTCTTCGCCGTCTCTGGATTTGCTGTCAGGAAGCTGAAACAACAAATTCGGGACAGAGACGACAAGACTTACATTGTGATACCAACGGCTGCTGCATCCGCTATGTGTTCGTTCTCTAAGAGCACCGCCTCTAATTCCGCCGGAGCAACCTGCAAAGCATTGACCTTGATGAGCTCCTGCGTAATAGCATCAGTACCAGTGCGATTGACATTTCCGCTTGTACAAGCATATGACTTACCTTCTTGCGATCGACAATCCAGAAAAAGCCCTCCTTATTACAGACGGCAATGTCGCCAGTTTTTAACCATCCATCATCACTTAAACACTCCTTTGTTGCCTCCTCGTTCCGCCAGTAGCGAAGGCAGACCTGTGGCCCACGGATATACATCTCGCCCGGCTGTCCGAGCTCAACCTCCTTGCCATCATCGTCTAGAAGCTTGCATTCGGTGTTAGGATCCAAACGCCCGACGCTGCCAGTGTCGTCTTTAATGCCTCCAGGAACGTGCAGTGCTCCGCACGTAACCTCTGTCATACCCCAACCTTGGTTAATTTGCATATTGAACCGTCTCTGGCACTCGTTTTGTAGTTCACGCGACAAAGGTGCGGCACCGCAGAGTACGTCCTTGATGCTAGAGAGATCATACCGTGCCGTTTCGGGCCTCTTGGACAGCATCACCAGGATCGGTGGCGCTATTTGCAAACTTGTGATGCGGTATCGGCCGATGGTGAAAAGGAAATCCTCATACCGGAACTCTTTCATGACGTAGATGGGTACGCGCAGCTTCACTGCCATGAGAATCGTGTACAGTTGGCCGTAGGCATGGTATAGGGGCAGGAAACCAATCCACCGCTCCTGTGGCCGCTTCTCGAAGGGGTACGGCTTGTGCGCATACCGGATGAAAATGGTCTGCTCCACGTTTGCGATCAGGTTGCTATGCGAGACACAGACTCCTTTGGGGAGACCTGTGGTGCCAGAGCTGTAGTTGATCGTTGCAACCGCAGTCCGCGATTCTTTTGGCGAAAAGTCGGGCCACTGGTACGTGTCTCCTTCAGTTGGCGAGCCGATCATGGCGCGCCAGTCCGGAATTCCATGATGTGTTCGGTTTTCGACATCTGAGAACTGAAAGACTCGGGATTTCGGGATGCCCGCCTTAGACGCTGCCTCTAGGGCAGTCTCGAGAAAGTTAGGATGTGCCAGGATCACTTTGGCGGTCGTGTTCTTCATTTGATGAACGAGTTCTGAATCATTTGTTAGCACTTATACGCCAAGTCTGGAGGTGGGCCGCATCCGTCTACTCACCAGGAACCGTATAAGCCGGGTTTGCGCCGCTAAATATCAAACCTGCACCCACGATGCCCAAATATGCCACTGGAACAAAGATGTGGTTTGGTGTGTATATCATGGCAACTTCACCCTTTTCCAGACCTAATCTCTCCAGGCCAAACGCCAGTCTCTTCACCCATTGTAAAGCCTGCTTCGGTGATAATGAATGCTTGTCATCCTTGCTATCAAGCCAAAGAGGCTCTTCCAACGGTTTTTCGTTCGCTGGGAAGATGTAGTCGAGGATATTCGTTTGGGGGATGTCCAGGGAGGGGTATCGCGACGAGTAGGCCATCTTGTCTGATATGAGAAGTATTCAGGCGCAAGCAATCAGCTTGACCTTTCGGATCTCGTCTTAGTCACACGAAAGGCAGATGATCTAGTCAATGAATCATTGAGAAACACCAAAAACAATTGCATTTATCTTCAACTTGCGATAATCCGCAGGAACACCAGTAAATCATCGCTGATTCGAGGTGCACATCAAGTGCCTACGGCCATCGTGATCCGCCTCCCTCGGGCTCTCGGTACTGCGGGGTAATAGTCGTTGTCCACTGGCCGGGGCACACTCGGCAGGGGAGAGCTCCCCTAGATTTAGCGTCAAGAGACCACTGGATATTCTACCGAGTGATCCCACGGGAGTCTCATGGGCGGCTCGGTCGTGCTTTTCGGCTGTTAGCTCGCGCACATCCTGTGTAAGTGAGAGACCTGCTGCGAGCTCTACCTCTACCAGTTCTCTCCGCGGATAGACATTCTGTAAACCCTGAATCTCCAGCAGCACCCGTCGGCTTAACATTTTCTTTCTTTTTGTGAACAGAAAGCGGATCAATTAGCTGTAAACATGTCTGACCTTCCGCACTTCAAGTCAATGTTCTCGCTGGAGGGCAAAACCGCCCTCATCACTGGAGGCTCGAGAGGTCTCGGCCTGCACATGGCCACTGCCTTTCTGCTCAGTGGCGCCTCCATAGTGGTCATCACAGCTCGGAAACGAGAGGGTGAACAGGGTATTGACCAAGCCGTTAGAAAGCTCAATGCTATTCCAGGCATCCGAGGCAAGGCTGTCGGCATCGCTGCTAATGTGGCCGACTCCAAAGACATTGTGCGCTTGGTCGGTGAGGTCAAGGATCTAGTCGGTTCAAAGGGCTTGAACATACTCGTCTGTAATGCTGGAGCGGCTTGGGGCTCTAGGTTCGAAGACGCGCCTCCAAGCAGCTCGGTGAAGATCTTGGATCTGAACGTCCGCGGTGTCTTTGAGCTTACCCAAAAGTAAGTTTGGGTTGAGATCGTAGTCCATTCAATGTGCATCTAACAGTCTGTCTCTCTAGATCTTTGCCCCTGTTGGAGAAGGCAGGTTCAAAGGAGGATCCTGCAAGAGTTTTGATCATCAGCTCCACCGCAGGAAGCAATGTGCCACACGTCGGTGAAAACGGAACGATCATGTACTCTACATCCAAGGCTGCTGCGCATGTAAGATGCCCTCGACGGCATTACGAGATTGAGAGCTCTGCTAATCGGCTTAAAGCACCTGGGTAGGAATCTGGCCGTCGAGCTTGGCCCGAGGAATATTACATCCAATATCATCGCACCAGGTTTCTTCCCTTCCAAGTTGGCCCAGGGATTGATCAATAACCTGGGTGGAATCGAGGAAATCAGCAAGGACAACCCGATGGGTAGACTAGGTGACGCCGAAGACATTGCCGGGGTGGCCGTTTTCTTATGCTCGCCGGCTGGCAGATATGTGTGAGTGCTGAAAGTGATTCATTTTCAGAAGCGAGATGGGATGACTGACCTTCTTACAGGAATGGTGAGGATATTGCTGTGGATGGAGGCGCTAGGTTGTCAGCGGGTAGAATGTCGAGATTGTAAGTCGTGTCACAGTACAACATGCTAGCGAATGATTCAATTAGGAGTTACAGAGAAGCACAAACATATCATTTTATTTTGGCAGGAGATTTGCAAAGCTTGAAATGCCCAGTTGCCATAGTATCAATCTGATATATTGTCTTGTTTGGATATATTCCGGCTCATATCACAATATTTACATCTAATAAGTTAGGTTAACCATGACAGTCTTCGGCTCCGTGAACATGCGGAGTGCATTGATGGCGTTCTCGCGGCCAACACCACTCTCCTTGCTACCACCAAAGGGTGCTGTCAGGAAGCACAGGCTGACACAGTTGATGCCGACCATACCGCTGTCAATCTCGCTTGAGATGCGCATGGCTCTGTTGATGTCTTGAGTGAAGACGCCTGCCATCAGACCGAAGTTGGTGTCATTTGCCTTCTCAATGATCTCCTCCTCCGTCTTGAAACTGTTCAGCACCGCAACGGGACCGAAGATCTCTTGTTTGCAAATCTCGGCATCCTGAGCCACATTTGTAAATACGGTCGGCTGGACGTAATAGCCCTAGAGGAGATAAGTGTTAGATTGGTTTTGTTGGTTAAGATCAATTGCTCGGCCTGGCTTACCTTATCGCCAACTTGACCAGCTCCTGTCAGCAGTGTGCCCTGGCTCTGTCCGCGTTGGATGAAGCCAGTGACTCGATCGTACTGGGCCTTGTCCACCAGTGGTCCCATGACGGTGCTCTCCGCATCTGGGTCACCAATAGTTCCTGCTCGCTCCTCCATCGCCTTCTTGTACCCCTCGACAAACTTGTCGTAGATGCCTTCTTGTACATAGACTCGGCTCGCGGCAAAGCAGACCTGACCGGTATTTGCAGTGATAGCATTTACACACCATGTGATCGCATTCTCCAGGTTACAGTCATCAAACACAACAGCGGGGCTCTTGCCACCAAGCTCGAGTGTGATACGCTTGAGATTGCTTTTAGCTGCCATCTCTTGAATTTTGCGTCCTGTTCCTGTCGATCCTGTGAAGCTGATCTTGCGAACCTTCATGTGACTCGCTAAGAGAGCACCCGTCGAGCCATCGCCAGACAGAATCTGGAACACACCAGGCGGGAAGCCGGCCTCCTTGATGAGGTACCCCAGAGCAAGTGCCGCAAAAGGAGTCTTCTCAGAAGGCTTCAGAATGAAGGTGTTACCGGTGGCAAGGGCAGGACCAGCCTTCATGCCAACATTTCCAAGAGGACCATTCCACGGGATGATACCAGCGGTGACACCAAGAGGCTCATTCCGGACGATCTTCAGGAATCCATCGTCTTGCGGATAGGTCTCGCCAGCAAACTTGTCAATCCACCCAGCGTAATATCTGAAGCCCTCAGCTGCGAGGTTGATCTCAAAGGAGCCAAATGATCCAAATGGAGCACCAAGAGTTATCCGTGTAAGCTCCGCGAGGACCTTTCCGTTCTCCACAATCAAGTCGGCGAGCTTCAGCATCATATCTCGCCGAGCAGTCGGCAGAGTCTTGCGCCATGACGGGAAAGCTGCTTCGGCCGCTGCAACGGCAGCATCTACATCCTGCTCGCCAGCTAGTGCGACGTCATTGGCTATCGGAGAGCCATCCTTAGGATTGAAAAGTTCCAATTTCTTTGCGTGTTTGGAATCCACGTACTGAGATAGGATTAGATGCTTTGCGTACAGATTCTCAGTTGCAATAGACCGACCTCATTATTGATAAACAGCTGTTTTGGAAGATTCTCCTTGCTGAATGGCACCTTGATGGAAGGACCGCCAGCCTTCTCCTTCAGGGAAGGGCCCAACGAAGTCATCTTTGGGATATCTGGTTGACCTTTGGCTTTGTTTACTTTCTTTATCGCACGAAGCAAGATCGGGAACAGGTTCAAACGGCTTATGGGTCGAATTTGGAGCACTACGAGATTGCTACAGCTGAACGGATATACTTCTTCACCTGTAAGTCTGCGTCATGGGGTCCCCGCTGATAGATACCCGCGGGAGAGTCAGATGCCAGTGAATCAGTACTGCTTGACCAGCATGCTGGTACCGGGCACCAATGGAGTTAAGAGCTTCACCCGGAAGACCTGCACCCAAGTCTCCTTTAGTGTAACTCCTAGCTAACTTCCAAGCTTCGTCTCGAACATCTTCAGAGCTTGCTAGTCGCCTCGGTACATGCAGGAGATACTAGAAAGTGTGTATGCGGGGTCTGTAGGCATGCACAGCGAGGTTGGATGAAGAAGCCCTGGGGTAATGATGCTGGTTATGCATTTCCGACGAGTCAGAACAGGTTGGGGTAGGCCCTTCCCCTGACTCGGCATGGGTTACCCCGCTAAACCACCTTTCACTTGCAGCCATCTGCCCCTAACAGAACACGCGGGGGTATCGAGATTAGCGGAGTTTGCTGTGTCAGGTGGCCGTCACGGGGAGCTTGCGAGTCTAGCTATGTAATTGGGTGTGTAAGAATATCCAGACATTGACAAGACAGAGGTACTGATGCCAGTCGCGGAATTCGCTGTCTGGAACAGTGATTCCGGCAGCATCATCAATATGCCCAGGTGCAAGCGCGTCCTCTCTAGGCAGGACTGGGCATCACAGGGTCTGATCCGGCTATACGAATGCGTGTAAGTGAACAGTACTGCACATACAAGTGTCGCTGTCTCTTCAAGATCGAGACAAGACATCGTAGGTCTACGTAGCTGAACGCAATCTAAAGTGATTCAAACGATCAATCTTCTCCTTTGATTGTCTGATCTAAGAGTTATTGTATTGTATTGTATTGTATCTCCTCCTTCACAATGGGTTCAGTCCAGGACATCCCTACAACCATGAAGGCTGGCCAATGGGACCCAGTAAGAGACTTCCCCTTGGAAATATTTCTGAAATTTGTTATCTAATAGCAATTATAGGCCCAGAAGAAGGTTGTTGTCAATGAGGTGCCCGTCCCAACGCCGGGACCAAATGAATTCCTAGTCAAGATCACCTCCGCCTCGCTCTGCCACAGTGATATCATGGCCATTGAACAGGCAACAAAACCCGTGACACTGGGCCACGAAGGTGTCGGACATATTGTGTCTTTCCATCCTTCCGCTGCTGATAAAGGTTTCAAAGCCGGTGACGCGGTTGGTTTTCTTTACATCTTGGCATGCTGCTTTGAGTGTTCAGGTTGCATGATTCACAACCTGCACTGCAAGACTGGCAAGCAGCTTTTGCAAGGATTCACGACTGACGGTTTCTTTGCGGAGTACGCGGTTGTTGACTATCGTAATTCCGTTGTGCTGGACGAGAGCGTCTGGGATCTACGGCGCGCCGCTCCTGTGTTTTGCGCTGGTATCACCGCCTTCCACTCCGTTGACAGCTGCGAGCTGAAGCCGGGCGACTGGTTTGGAGTCATCGGCTGTGGTGGTCTGGGCCAAATCGCCACCCAATATGCCAAGGCGATGGGACTCAAAGTTATTGGAATCGATGTTCAAGATGCGAACCTGGAGGAAACCAAGAAACTTGGTGCTGATGCCGTATTCAACTCGAGGTCCAACAAGAACTATGTGCAGGAGCTGCTCGAGTTAACTGGTGGTGGATGCCAGGCAGTTGCCTTGTACACCAATGTCTCAGCAGCCTTCGAAGGAGCACCGCCAGTCATTGCCCTTGGAGGCACCATGATGGTCATCGGTATTCCCAAAAAGCCTTTTGAGGTGCTTGCCATGGATTTGGTCATGGGCAGATATAAGATCAAGGCGGACTGCACAAGCATTCCGCAGAGAATGAAGAAAGCGACAGACTTCACTGGCAAGCATCGCATCATGCCAAACGTGGATATCAGGGGCGGGTTAGATCAGCTTAACGGCATGGTCGAGGAGATGCAGAAGGGAGTGAATGTCAAGAGATGTGCTGTAGTGTTCGAGTAGACATTGATAGCTGAAATTAGGACAATGACGTGCATTGGTTGACATGGCTTCATGATGATCAATTTGAAAATCCGGATTATGGATATACTTAGTTCTTGACGAAAAACGATTTTCTTAATCTGCTACACTTCTAGTCAAATGAGACATATTTCTCGCCATATTGTTCCGCAAACTTCTTATAACGCTCCTGATATCCGTCATGCCTTCTCCTAAACTCCTTTGCTGCTTTCATCTCCTCCCGTCCGACTTGATGTCGATGCGCCGCGTCCGGCCCATCTGCCACTCGTACAAAGCGTGCGTATGTCCACATCTCAGGCAATGGTGTGTGTTGGGTTAGACCCTGACCACCATACATTTGCATACACTCATCGATGATCTTGGTGGCGAGATTTGGCACCAGGATCTTGCTCTGGGCAATGGCACGCTTACCAGCTTTGTTGCCGAAAAGATCCATAGTATCAGCGGCATTGAGCACAATGAGGCGGGCGCCATCCAGCTCAAGGCGCATTTGCGCAATCCTCTCGATGTTGCTGTCGAACTCGCCGATAAGCTTGCCTCTTGGCTTCTTGCGGGGGTCATTGCACCGAATCAACGCCAGTTCATAAGCTCTCTCGCACTGTCCGATCAGTCGCATGCAGTGGTGAATGCGGCCTGGACCAAGACGGCCTTGTGCAATCTCAAAGGCTCGGCCTTCGCCCAGAATGACATTCTCCACCGGGATGCGCACATTGTTGTAAACATACTCTCCGTGGCCCTCGGGAGCATGATCATAACCCATGATACTCAGGTTACGTACCTGGTTAATTCCAGGTGTATTGCAAGGGACGATGACCATGGAATGACGGCGCCAACGGTCAGAGTTGTTAGGATCCGAGAGACCCATGAGAATGTAGAAAGATAGCTCTTTGTTCCACAGACAATTGCCATACAGTTTACGACCATTGATAACATAACTGTCACCCTCGCGAGTAATGCGAATGCCAATTTGCGTTGCATCCGACGAAGCAACATCTGGCTCTGTCATTGAGTATGCGGACGCAGCAGTTCCATCGAGAAGCGGCTGAAGCCACTTCTTCTTCTGTTCCTCGTTGCAGTATTTCGCCAACAGCTCGATATTGCCAGTCTCGGGAGCATGGCAGTTCATCGTCTAGGAATTGGCGTTAATGTTAGTGATCGGGTAGTTAGAGTGGGGACAGTTGCAATTGCAAACGAACCTGTGCTGCCCAGTAACACCTTCCCATGATTTCAGCACAGCAAGAGTACTCCAGATTTGTCAAACCAGGGCTCTCCTTAAAATGATTTGGCAAGAACAGATTGAAGAGGCCCTTCTGCTTGGCCTTTTCCCGTAGCTCGTGCATCAGCGGCGGTGTCGTCCACCTTCGCCCTTCCAGCTGAGCTTTCATGATTTGCTCACGGGGGATGCACTCGTTTTCCACCCAGTCATGAACGGCTTGGATCTTCTCAATTGCCAGTGGGGAGAGCTTCTGCTGCACCCATGGTGGAATGCGTGCGAACGCCGGCCCTTCAAGGGCCATGTTTGAACTTGAGTGAGGAGACATGTCGATAGAGAATGGGGTAGGCTCTTAAGATATCAAGACACTAACTCTACTCTGTTCACGTCGAACAATACAAGGTCGAGGATTGAGTTCGGGGCCCAATACTCTTTACGCAGGTATGTTCACTGGTTGTCAAGCATCAAATCGTTGACTTTCTGGCGGAGATCCTCTTCCCTCCCCGCATTTTACCGCGGTTAGTAGCTGCGCGGTAGCACCCTGACATGCCATATCAGCCCACTGTAGGGGAGGTCCCGGTATATTGATCAGTGGCACTGGTCGCTAAATGATGCTACAACATGCCCAGAAGCCTCGGCCTAAATCACTGGTTTCACTTTCGATGCCTGGTTGGCAAAGCGGCTCCCTACCTAGGGACTTAGGTAGGCAATGTACTTTGTAACATGTACTGAATCAGGGGCTAAGTCACTAATTGCAAGGCAAACATTCCTTGCGCATGTCGTAGGATTCGATGTCAGATCTCAAAAACTCAAAGCAGGTTATGTATTTCATCAAAAATCATTGATTCTACTTCTTATGGAATGATTTTCGCTGTTCTGAAGCGGTCGAAAGCGGTATACCACGCCTGCTTGGTATCGACCTCCTCCTTATACTCACCAAGCATCTCGTGGCATTTGGACATATCCAGGGGGCGGTCCTTGTCCATCATCGACATGATGAACATAGGGAATCCTCCAAAACTTCTGTCGTTCTGCACTCTACCAGGAACTAGGCCGTGCTTTGACTCAAGGGCTTTCCACTCCTCGTAATGCTCCGAAACGTAGCCGGTCGGATCAGGCCCTTGAACACCAGGACGCGGTCCAACTCCCTTGAGCCCAAAGTATTCACAAATGACTGGCCACTTGTAACTCCAAGTCGACGGCTTTGCGCTGTCTGCCGCATTGTATCTCTCGCCTGATGTCTTCTCAGTGCGAAGTGATGCGATGATGGCGACATGAGCTGCAACATCCTGGCTGGTCTCGTTCGTGAGAATCTTCCAAGACTTTTCCGTTCCGGGAAAGATGACTTCAGCACCCTTGCCGTTGACCGCAGTGTACAAGGATAGATATAAGCCCAGAGCCTGTGCCATGCAGTAGATGTTGTTATTTGGCACGAAGCCAATGATGTTATCAGGGATGATTTCACACCATGCCCATGATTTCCCTTTGGACATGTCCGTGAGCATGTCTGTTTGGCTATAGTAAAACATTTGCGAAGCGTATGGCTCAGGTATCCTTGGGTGGGATTCTTTCAGGGGCATTGTGAAGTCGAACGGATATTTGTCTAGAACATGGATGCCGTATGCTTTTGTGCCTGTTGGAAGCACAACACATTTGAGATTGGACGAGACATTCTCAACGGCCGAAACTGCGCGTGATAATAGATCAAGATTGATGGAGATCTCTTTACTCGGATCAGGATCCATGATATACGCTATGTAAGGTCAGTTTTTAGTATCTTGGGATCATTTATATTCTTTTACTAACCAAAGAAGTACACGTGTGTAATCTTCGCTGCATGTTTTACCTTCTCTTTGATCTCTGCCTCCAGACCAGCCAGTCCCTTCGGTGTAAGTATGTCAATACCGCTAACGACCTGAAGCTTATCAGACTGCGGCCATAGTGCAGCCTCTGCACTCAGAGGGCGATTGGTCAAAGCAGTGACCGAGGCGAAGGTCTCTGGTGTAGGATAGCCGTTCAAGATAGCATTGGTGATAGCCCAACCCGTGATACCACTCGCACCTTCAAAGTGTTAGTCTATGTCATTGTCTACTGTCTGCCTTGATAACATACCATACACGAGAGCATGATTCTCGTTGCTAAGAGAGCCCATTGTGTCTGAAGAGACTTTGTCTACAGGAACTGAAGCGATACACACAAATTAACACAATCGCGCACAAGATGTAGAAGATGGGAATCGCAAAACGATGGAGGGGTCCGCGTGTAAGAGAGGGGCACAGTTGGAGTCAAGGAGGCCGGCGCAGAAGTACTCCAGCTAGATGCCTTTCAATTTGGAGGGGAAAGGCTCATCCGCGATCTCCCTGGGACACTCCGCTTTCCGTGAAGCTTGGGGTAACCAGACGGAGGCATTACCAATGCCTAGCTTGTGACACTGCGTCATTGCCAATTTGTCCTTGCTGAGCAATTGTGGAGTCGTGATATTGTTAACAATCGTGCTTAGTGAGATCGCTCCGAGATCTCCTAGGAGTATTACGGACTCTTCCATCGATAAGGTATCTTTGCATAGAGAAGAAAATTCCTATTGTCACTGGAAGAGGAAATCTACTGTACTTGAAATTGGTTTTGCGCAAAAGACGCGACGATACTAGATGAACCCTTCTGATTGTTATTCCCTCCAACAATGCAGACGATGTTCGGCAAGAGAAAGCCGTTTCTACCTACTTAAGATAGGTAGGTAATCAATAGCTGAGAAGCCACCAAGATTGAAATGTCACAGAGAATTTACGTTCCATTGCTCGACACAAGCACTTTGCGAGTCCTCTAAATAACCTTCCCAAAATAATAGCTGGCCGCTCAAAAGACAGATACTCTACTTACAATTAGCATCATTTTGCAGAAAATTTTTGCATAGTATATTTACGAGGCCGCAGGATGCGTTGCTCTTCATCTTCGCCCCGCGTCTTCCCCGCATGCACCCAGGCATTTCCGCCCTAATGAATCAGGACCTCCAACCACCAATAGGGGGCCTAGACCTTGGCGGCTGATAATGGAAAATCTTACCCAGGGTCTCATATCAGAACCTGAACAGTATTGAACGCGGCAATACTACTGCAATTCTCATAGAAGACCCTTGCAAATGTGCTCAACCACGGCGTTAAATCAAGTAAAGTTGGGGTCCCGTGAGGGGATTAGACTGCAGACGGCCCCCTAGTGACCACCCCGGTGAAACAGCATCAAGATATGCTTGTCCGAGCAACTTACTCATGCTCGATGTTCACGGAAATGCACTTCCAACGTCTTAAGAATGCCCTTTGCCTCAGCCATTCCTATTCCCAGGAGTCGTGGTATAGTGTGCTTCGGGCGCAGAATACGGCGTAGAGCTTATCCTCTACCGTTACAAGCATGTCCCGTACGGCCCTCGCCGGCTAGTTGCTAATAGGACGGAAACGCACATGCTCAGCACGTCCAGGGGCAAGAATTCCGATCCGATGGGCTGCTGTCATGTAGATCCAGCCTTGGTAAAGCCATGACCTGGAAAAGCTGTAGCCCGGTGGTGCCAGAAGCTTTATAGATCGTACCACGTTCCTTGATTCCTGTTCCGGTATGGATCTTGTTCTCCTGTGTTTCCCGTTGGAGTAGCCATCCCCAGATAGAGGTCCCTATATAACGCTTTTCACTCCGTCTGTACCCTCGTACCTTTTCCATCCTTCTGTGTCCCTTACCTCACTTGTCCTCTTGCCCCTCCCTCTTGTAAATTATCACCATCATCATCATAATGGCTCCCGGGGCAATCGAGACTGTCGACGCAAACGGGGCCTCTCCGGAGGTTAAGGTGACGACCAAGAATGGCACCATCAACGAATCCCCCATTACCTTCAGTTACCCAGAAATGGCTACTCCCTATCGAGTATTGCAGCAATATCATTCCAAGCCTACAAAGATAAGAGTTGCCTGTATTGGAGCCGGCGCTTCAGGTCTCTGCTTGGCCTATAAAATGGAGAAGATGTTGGAGCCAGGCAGCTTTGAGCTGACACTGTTCGACAAGAACCCCGTGTTTGGCGGCACATGGTATGAGAACACCTATCCTGGTGTTGCTTGCGACATCCCCTCACACCTGTACACCTTCTCTTGGGACCCTAAGTATGACTGGTCACATTATTTTGCGTATGGTCCGGAGATTCGCCGATACTTCGAGGACTTTGCAGAGCGGTATGGCTCCAAGAAGTACATGAAGCTGAACACCAAAGTCATCGAGGCCCGCTGGGACGAGGAGCGAGGCATATGGCATCTCCTGTTGGAGGACCAAGTGACCAATGAGAAGTGGCATGACTGGTGTCATTCTCTGATCAACGGCACGGGAATCCTGAACAACTGGGTGTGGCCCGACATTGAGGGCATTCACGACTTCGCTGGACCTAAAATGCATTCAGCTCACTGGGACCACTCAGTTGACTTCAAGGGCAAGACCGTCGGCGTCATCGGAACAGGCAGCACAAGTGTACAAATTGTACCGTCACTTCAGCCAGAAGTCAAGAACATGAAGGTCTTCATGCGATCTCCGACTTGGATCTCCCCTCCTTTCGGCGGTGGCGTGCTCGAGTCTGATCTTCGCAAGGAAGGCGGCGGGGAGGAGCCATATGTGAGACAGTATACTTTCACTGAGGAGGACAAGCAGAAGTTCAAGAACGATCCCGAATACTACCTGAACTTCCGCAAGCGTATCGAGGCCGAGATCAACTCACTATTTGGAATGTATCAACAAGGTTCCGAGCTTTCCAATCACATGAGGAAAAATATCACAGAGGAAATGGAGCGGAGAATTGGGCCTGGCAATGAGAAGCTTAAGTCTTTCATCATCCCTAAATGGTCACCTGGCTGCCGACGAATTTCACCTGGCGACGGCTACCTCGAAGCTTTGGTCAAGCCCAATGTGGAGTGTGTCTACGGACCCATCAAGATGATCACCGCCGAGGGCATTGTGACAGAAGACGGCACACTACACAAGATGGACATTCTAGTCTGCGCTACTGGCTTCAAGGTTGCCTTCCGTCCTGCCTTCAAGATCATCAACGGTGAGGGCAAGACACTGGATGAGGATTGGGGTGATTCAGTCAACCTATACCTCGGTGTTTCGGCCCCCCGCTTCCCGAACTACTACACCATCGTCGGCCCCGGTGCGACATGGTCATCCGGAACCTTGCTTCCGTCCATCGAGACGACCGTCGAGTACTCGGTTAAGATGATGAAGAAGATTCAGCATGAGAACATCAAGTCTATCAGCGTGCAGCAGGAGGCCGTCGATGATATCTACGCTCACTTTGATGAGTTCCACAAGACGACAGTGTTCCAGGAGGAATGTCGAAGTTGGTTCAAGGACGGCAAGATCAAGAATCGGATCTATCTCTGGCCTGGATGTGTGAGTGAATATCCATCTCATTGTTTCTCAGTCCCCACTCATTTCTCCTCTTTGTTGGCAAGCCGCCGTTCTGCGCGGACTTGTCCGCTTTATCTCGCAATTTTCTTGGAAAATACGTACTACATCAGCTAACAGCATGTTCTACTACAGACCATCCACTTCCTAAAGACGATAAAGGAACCACGCTTCGAAGACTACCGCATCAAATACAGATATGGCAATCGATTTGCCTACCTTGGAAATGGCGAGGTGAAGGCAAATGTTACAAAGGACTATAAGGGACTGAGCACCTATGTTCGTGACAGCGACTACGACTGGGACGTCGAGTAATCTAAACAGTGACGACCGTGCTGCCTGCCGTGCCGCTATTCCCCGTGGGGAGTGCGATCTCCTCCACCATCGTAGGGCATGCTAGGCACAAGCTGAGTGCTGAAAAGTGGAATAGGGGGCGGCTATGGTCTGTTGGAGCAGCCCCTAATCACACCGATTGCGGGGGCTATGGGCTTACATCCTGCTAAACCCGCAGCGATGAATCATTAGCGTCTTGTTGGTTTCTTGTATCTACGCATAAGACCGGGTTATTTATCGTTCTGGCGTCAATTGATATCCCCTTTTGACCAATCGTCTCCTCCGGTTCTTGTCCCGCGTCTTAACTATCGACAGAGATTCTATCCTCTGGTGAGGGGCTACAGTGTAAGGCAACAGACCGGGTTGCAGCCGGTTCACACCCTCATGCGAAATCATTGAGTGCAGGACAAGCAAGGCTCGTGACTGCACTGGATTCCTAAACTGGAAGATTTACACGCCTATGCGTTCATGTGCAGAGGTTAAGAGGGCTAGGTAGGAGACGGCAACTTTGTCGATTGAATGAGTGGCTTGCAGTTTTAAGCAAGATCGTCTGACCTGGCAAGCCATCGTCTTGATAAGCGTCTTGGTAGGTCCGTACTCCCAACGCATCAATGCTTGCAACCCCGGATTAAGCGGGTGAGACCCACGACTCACAAGTACCAAAAGCTTCCAGCGATTCAATTGAGGCGCTTTATTAATCCAAACAGCATGAAAGGGTGCTTGGTCAAGACATAATGCACAATTGACAGCGCAAGCCATCCAACCTCAGTGAACCTATGACCAGGGTATGAATTGATTGAATTAATTAAATCTCCACGCTCGCCTTGGTTACCGCAAATGAGACCCCGTGTTTCGTAGGTCGGCAATCGTTAGACCGTGCCCAAATTCCTGGGTCACTTCGCGAGTCAAGAGATGTGCCACTACAGAACCTCTACGACTCAGGTCGGGCGCAGGGGTTCTCAAGGATGCCTCGTGTCTCATTGGACGACCCCCAATGCACACGTCGGCTATGGTAGAGATACCAAAGCTTAAGATGTGCAGTCAGCACCTTGGTCAAACGTCTTAGAGGCGGGGGACGGCCTCGTAATTGGCCCACAGGGAAGCGCCGTGGGAGCCGTTCGTCTCGATAGCTGCTTACTGCTCTCTCCGCATCTGGTTTCCCCAACACCCCAGAATAGCCCCGGCTAGAAATCGTGGAGACACACTTCTAACCGGCGGGGTAGACGGGTGAGAGGAGCAGTGCTTGAGTCCGTCTTGAGACCGGTTCACTGCCTGTCGCCTGCCTGCCCCAGCTTTTGTCATGTGGCTGTAACTAGCCATGGGTTCGGGTGCCCTTGGCTACCTTTTAGACAGGCATTGGACCATATAGCACACCTCGCTTGTTGACTAGGGGAGGCAGTCTCATAGCCGGCGTGTCGGAGTCTCGGTTCTGGTACTTTTGTGCAGCTGAGTATTGGCCGTTCATCACTTGGTGGACCCAGACCATTCTGTAATGGATCCTTTTGACACCTCTCTTACCTTCGACGCGACACCCATTCGACTGTCAATCGTGGGGAGTGTCGTAGACGAGTCCACCTGGTCTTGGGTTGCTCCAAGTTTTCGCGGGGCAGAGCCCTGCTTCCTGACCCTAGTCTGTCTCGTGTGAACCCTTCTCATTCTCCGGAGTTCCCTGTCCCCCCCAAAGTTGAATTGTGGAATCTCCTCACTTTCTGCCATCATTGTTCATGCATCATTATCTTCGATACACCAAAAGAACGTTCGATTCCTAATAGAAGTCATCTTATCTCGTCTTACCTAAGTGACTGAGTTGTAAAGTGTTTTCAGCCATTGTAGGCTGCCCTATCTAGGGAGACATACATCACAGTTACCATGGCGAACTCAAATGCCGAGGGTAATTCTCTGCCAGACGTGTCTGAAGAAGGACAGGATATTTCCAACCAGGAGAATGTCTCTTCCCGTTCTCAACCATCCAGACAATCCAGCAAACAGCAAGTAAGACATAGAGCGTCAGTCGCCTGCGCATCATGCCGAGACCGCAGGATTCGCTGCGTCGTCCCCAAGGGGGAGACCGAGTGTACTCAGTGCAAAAGAGCAGGGACAGATTGTGTTATTAAGAACGATGATGAACGACGACGGTTCGTTTTCCTCCTTGATCTTGATTAAAATGCAAGGCTGATGATGAAAAGTCCTATTTCCAAAGCGTATATGTCATCGTTATCCGACAGAATTTCCATGCTTGAGGGTATGCTCATGGAGAAGGGTGTCGTGCCACCGCCCGCCGCACATCCTCCCAAGACAAAACAAGAAGCCCAAACAAAACAACAACAGCCTGGAGAACAACAACACCATCAGCAATCAGCAGATGGCCATTATGCTCAAACGGTGTACCAGAATTCGCCTTCCCGTGAGGTTCCCTCACCGCCAGACTCTGGAAATGAGGACTTCGCCATGCAGGATCTGCACGATTTCCAGGAGAGCGATCAGGCAGACAGTGTTCTGGCGCACAGTCAGACCTTCCAACCCTTGATGAAGGAGACCTCGCCATTCCGCAATCTAGACCCCAAGAAAGAGGACATTGTCCATCGGTTGCTCTCAACCAAGGGCAATCTATCATTTGATCAGTTATCCGGCCGCCTGCGGTTCTTCGGACCCACGGCGAACAGCCATGTGTATGCCGAGTCTCAAGACACATTCGATTCTCGGGAGCCTCCTGAGCAGATCCGGCGTTCCGAACGGATCATCCGCTCTCTCACCGTTGCCACTCATGATTACCTCATGAACAACTTCTGGGAGTATTATAATTCAGTGCTGCACGTCATCGATCAAAGCGCCTTTGAGGCCGATCGGGAGTCACAGAATCCTAAGTTCTACTCATCGTTCCTTCACATCACCATACTCGCCATGGGTTATCGCTTCGCCGACCATGACAGAGAGGACATGAAGAAGATCACTCTTGGGAACAGAGAGTGTAACCTCCACAGAGAAGCCAAGTATATGCTTGATATCGAGCTTGAGAGACCGGGTGGAATACCTAGTGTCCAAGCACTCCTAATACTTGGCGACCTAGAATGTGGCGTTGGGCGTGACAACACCGGTTGGATGTATGCTGGTAAGTACTTTAATCACCTGAGCATATCAACATTATAAGTATTAACTAAAAAATAAAGGAATGTCAAATCGACTTGCGTTTGATATCGGACTTCATCTTGACTGTCGTGGCGATAACATCTCGCAGCAAGAAATCGAGATCAGACACATGGTGATGAGGGCCTGTGTTGTCTTCGACAAATACTGGGCATTGTTTTTGGGTCGTCCTACGAGCATCAAAAACCAAGACATCGGTGTTGACCTCTTACTATCGAAGAGACTCTCGGGACTGTCTGCTTTCCCTCAGGACTCTACTCAACCAGAGCTCAGAGAGGTCGGAAAGTCGGCCAATTCTGAGATATATGAATATCTCATCGAACTCATGGAGTTGGCCGGCAAGATTGTTGAAACTCGCGATAACAACCGCATCAGCAATTCTGCCGACCACGCCAATGTCTTCGCAATGAGCGAATCTGAGGATAATGCCTATATGCATGTCATCAGCCTTGACCGCCAGCTGCAAAATTGGTACCGGCGCCTTCCAGAACACCTAACCTGGAAGCCCGCCAACATCAAGGCTGCACCGTATTCATTCTTTCATCTTCATCAGCAATACCACGTCACTATGATCCTCCTCCACCGACCATGGGCCAAGTATGGTGCTATCTCCGGAGATGGCTCTAGCACTAACTCTCATCCGAGCCCGGACTCAACAGCAGATCATCGCCGAGGCTCAACGGGCCAGATCCCAATGAGCGGACATACTCTTGGCCTTGGTGACCCGCATTCAATTGTGGATGACAGTAGAACTTCCTTATCTCGAAGCATCTGCACACAGCAGGCAATTCGGGTTGCCCGCATCTTCTGGCAGCACAGACAACGCTATGACGGAAAGAAGATCTTCGTAACGGGGATTCAGCATGCTGGCACGGCGGCCATTGCTTTGATCGCAGCACTCGCATATTCAAGCAGTGATGTTGACCGTCGAAGCTATACCGGCTATTTGGAGATCCTCTCCTGTGCTCTTCATGACATGAGCCATGCTTACCAGCCAGCTCAGCGGATGGATGACCTCCTTCGGGCCGTCCTTGATCAAATGCGGCCGGATAATCATGGCCCGGCATCGGTGGTATTCCAGAATGGTGCTCCTGTCAGTGTATTTGGCGGCAGCGCTGGGAGTAGCATGATGTCTGGATCAGGCTGGCAGGGCAGCCCTGGCAGCAACATTTACTCAATCCTTCCCCTACGCCGGGAGAATGAGGACAATGACCATGTGCAAGCCTTTAAGAAGCGCCGCCCTGCACAGAGCAGGCGAGCCTCTGAGTTCACTCGCCCACCACCGCCATTTTTTCTAAGTCAGACCGGACCAACCCCACCAAATTCGTCCCAGAGCCAGAGCAACTCCTTTTCAGCCGTCTTTGGTCGTCATTCTGGAGCAACACCAGGCATGTTCTCGGCAGACCATTCCAATAACTTCGGCCTTGACTTTCTGAACGGCCCAGCCGTAGATCTTGATGGTAGTGACGACCGGCATGAAGGACTTAACAGACACACGGAGGACTATGTGCTCGTAGCACCTTCTTCTGACGGATGGGCCTTGAACGGTATGGGACATGATCATTCACACCCTGGCGCAGGATTTGAGGTCCCAATGGGGGACTGGATGGCAGGGCCTGCTGGTCTAAGTGCTAGTGGCGTTCTGAAAGGGGCAGGTCCCGGTGCCATATCAGCGCCCAGTGACACCATGGCAGGAATGACCAAGGTGTCGAATGGAGACGCCTCCGCCGGAGAGAATCCCGGCAGCGCTGAGGCGAAGCAAGAAGGTAGCGGAAATGAAAATGCGGGAATCAATGGCACTAGTAACGGAGGAATGGAGTGGATGGGCAGCGAAGGCGGGCTGAATGCCCTGAGCCCAGTCAGCCTCAGTGGGCTAGTCCAGAGTGTTGAAAAAGCAGCGGGTGCAACCGAGACGGGTGCCGTGAATGGCACTGGACGGAATCATGAATTGGACTTTTTCAGTTTTTGAGATCAAGCGACTTGCTTTTGAGTGTGTATAGGAAACTTCGGATAGTGGTCGAGGATGGGGGCAAGGCGTTAAATCTAAGACGCTCAACGTTCTATAACGAGATGTCCGCAGCCTAGCAATAACTTGTACTTAAATACCGGGAAAGCGAAGAACGAATATTGAATGAAGGACTCAAATGTATACCTGCTGCCTTGAATCGTGATTGAAGGAGATGCTTTTGTCTGGTAGTAGCTTATTGATAAATTTAGGAGGGTGCGCTGACAATGAAGTCTTCGTCTGAGCTACCTACCCGAAATGTCCAGATACTGCCCGCATTCATTGCGATGTGAAGCCACCGTCCGCCACCAGTGCCGCTCCTTGCATGAAACTACTCATTGGGGATGCGAGAAAAGCAATGGCATCACCGACCTCCTCCATTAAAGAGGTTCGCTGTAGCGGTGTTCTTGCGATATCTAGAGCCAGAGGCGACCCTGGGCTGGTGTCCATCAGCCGCTTCACCAATGGCGTTTCAACGTAGCCGGGGCAGATCGCGTTAATTCGAATTCCCATTGGGCCATATGCATTTGCATCCGCCTTGGTGAGGCCTAACACACCATGCTTGGACGCACAGTATGCTGGGTGTGACATGTTTATGCCTGTGGCCACGATGCCATACATGGATGCCACATTGATGATTCGCCCGCGGCCTTCCCGGACGCCCAAGTCTCTGCCTCGAGCATTAGAATCTTGATATCTCAGACCATCATCAACTCTGTACGAGCCAATGGAACACTCACTCCTGCTTCAGCATGACTCCCAGCTCCTCACGCTGACATCGCCATACACCGTTGAGATTGATGCCGACTATACGATTCCACTCTGACTCTGGCAACTCGTGTGTCTTCTCACCAGCACCGCCAGTGCCTGCATTATTGACTGCCACGTCGAGACGACCGAACGCTCGTACTGCCTCGGCGATACTCGAGGACACCTGGGCGGTGTCTTGAACATCCATGGTGAGGTCAAGGACCTCTACGCCTGAGAATTGTTGCCTGAGCTCCTCATTCGATGCTTTCAGCGCCGGTTCATTAATATCTGCCAGTGCCAGCCTCTGAATGCCAAACCGGGCGAAGGACACCGCGGTGGCACGTCCTATGCCTACAGCGACGTAAGCAAAGACTGTAATATCAGCGTGCGAGTATGCCCAAAAATACCTGAAGCAGCTCCAGTGATGAAGGCCGTTCCTTTTAGAAGCGAGGCCATGTTATAGCCAATGAAGGAATCACCCCCTTTCAGCGGTCACGGATGAATGATTCGGAAGCAGAGTATAGACAATCACAAGGGATGAGTCGATGTCTGCTGCAAAACGTCACTGCCACGAAATTGAAAGACCGTCAATAATAAGATATTCTACCTCCCGACATGCTGTTCAACAATAATTTCATGAGCCGGAGATTCAAACCATATAACGATCACGAGTCAGGTATTAGTGGCGTGCGCCGCTGAAGAGCACATCCGGCAGTGGGCCAGCCACCGCTCTCGAGCGATCCCCCACAGTGGGGACCAGCCACTAACCCTCCCCAGTTTCGGCGAAGCTTTTCCGCTAAGTCACACATCCAGCTATTATCACAACAGCCTCACTTCCTTTCTCCTTACAGCGAGCGGCCAGGCAAGTCTTTTTGATGAGAGGGCGCCAAGATCTACTCACATTAGCAATCTCCGTTTCGTTATGTCTGAGGAGTTGAGCGAGGGAACAGCAAAATGTCGAGCACGGCGCAAGCGAGTTTTGAGTAAAAGAGAAGTGCTTCAGTGTAGTCACAGTCGTCGGAACAAGAGATCCAGAGGGGGCTGCTCATTTTACGGTAGATCTCGTCGATTGTGACCATAAACTACAAATTCCGCCCTCACCTGCCGACAGTCCTTCCAGCCCCTTAGAGACGCGCTTGATTATGGTAAGTGGTAATTACTAGCCCCCTTTGAAAGGTTAAGAAGCAATGCGCCGTATTGCACGTCATCGATATGTATACAAATTAATTCACCTTATATTTTTTACAGATTTTATCGAAAGATGTTACTTTCGTAATGTTGGTTGTTTTGGAAAGCCTTCTTAGATCATCCGATGGGATATTTCTCTGAAAATTCTCCATAATAAACAATGTCGTACCAGTAAACTGAACTTGGCATCAATAGATGACGATTGCATCAACCAAGTTTTCAGATAGTGCTCATATAATTATACATATAGAGTAAATCATGTCAGCTCTTTCTAAGCATCATGGTCTCGAAAAATTCTTGACAAGCACTGTTCAGAGGTGCAGAACGATGCCAGTGAAGTCTTTGCATTGTACCGTTCATATTGAAACTAATATCCTTGTTAATAAAGTACCACCTTGACTTGAGGTATTAGCAAATCAGAAACTCATTATTGTATTCGTCGAACATCTATTTACCTGAGTTCAGGACGTCGCGCTGTCTACTTGAGTTTTCCCAACAGGATCGGGAGTTAATAATTGACGCCACTGCAGCTACAAGTTCGTGATGAATGACATTCAAGAACTTTGGAAACGTGATCTTAGAAAGCTCCTTGTTCTTGACGGGCAGCAAGTGCAAGTTAGACGGTGTGATCGTGCTCTAGTCGTGTAAAGTGTTCGGGTGTCCTTCATGCGCTAATGAGGTTTAATAACGAACTCGATCCAGTTCCCTTCATTGCCCAGATGCATACTGCTTGGCAGATGAAAATTGATAAAGAGAATGGCAGGTCATACTCAATTGTTACTAACGTCTGATGTATTTCGTTTTCTCCTAGAAGATTAAGTGCGTGCGTAAGTTACGCGACTCCGCGTTTCCGGGTAAGACAGTCATTGGTATAAAATCGTGCTCAGTCAATTGAGAGGAAGCTGCAGCGAAAGTCTAACCCAGCCCGATTAGAGGTAGTATTTAATGATTGTATGTGAAAAGCTAAGTAGGGCACTGCCAATTCATGGATGTTGTTGGTCAAGCGAACCCAACAGGCAAATCTACAGACACTGACTGACGTCGGTGCCGAATCGGCAACTTGACCCTCTGCAAACGATCGTCATCCACGCTCAAAATTTCCAACGAAAGAAGTAATTTCGACAGTCGTATAAAATGTCGTTCCGTTTGTGGCATGTTGATACTATATACTTTCATTTGCAATTTTGTCATTTGTCGTATACAAGTGTTCTGGCTTGCAAAGACCATATTGGGCTACCCTTTTCCTAGTCGCCAATCGAAAATGGCAGCCAAGGACCTAGAAGACGGTCTTCCGGAGCAAGCCAAACCACTAGATGTCTTGCAAGAGCCGAGAACGAGTAAAGAGTCAATACCACTTTCGTCCTCTCCAACACAAGCAAGGATATTTGCAGATATCGTTGCAACCGATCCCGCTGCTGCTGCTGAGCAGTCTCCTTCCAGAGTGGAAGGACTAGATCGAAGAGCCACGCATGAATCTGAAGCACCGTATTCAATTTTCACCCATTCTCAGAAAATTTTCATCGTATTGGCGGTATCCTTTATGGCCATTATCTCCCCTCTTTCCGGTAGCGCCTACCTCCCAGCATTGCCCGAGATCGCAGCGGACCTCAACGTGTCCAATAGTCTCATCAACCTTACGGTCACGACCTACCTCGTATGTACGCCGCTTCTCTATGAGCACATGAAACAACTACTAAATAAGATAGATCTTTCAAGGCATCGCACCCTCCTTTGTCGGCAATTTCTCCGATGTATACGGCAGACGTCCAGCTTATGTGATTTGCTCTGTAATATACTTGGCCGCAAATATCGGTCTTGCACTTCAGCGTAATTATGCCGCACTGCTCGTGCTTCGTATGCTTCAAAGCTGTGGAAGTAGCGCAACTGTTGCATTGGGCAGCGCAACTGTCGCTGATCTCGTTACTAGAGCTGAGAGGGGCAAATTTATTGGCTATGCAGGAATGGGCATTACGTTGGGACCGGCAATTGGTCCTGTGGCAGGTGGTCTCCTCAGCCAGTATCAAGGTTGGCCCTCAATATTCTGGTTTCTCACCATCGTGTCAGCCGTTTTATTTTTGTTGATTTTCACCTTTCTTCCGGAGACTTGCAGGGCCGTAGTCGGTAATGGCAGTGTCCCATCTCGAAAGTGGAATCGAACTCTCTGGGATTATTTTCAAGAGCTCCGACGAGGCAAACCCAAGGAAACCCATATCGATCGTGATACGATTTCTGGGCCACGGCGACGGCCTAATCCGTTTCTAGCACTCAAGATTCTGGCGGAGAAGGAAGGCGGCGTCACTCTGGGGTATGGGTCGCTTCTGTACGGTGGCTATTATGCTATCCTAGTTACGTTGTCTTCCAACCTGTCCGAGCGATTTGGTTTCTCTCAAGTCACCATAGGTCTGTGTTATCTTCCTATCGGCGTTGGGAGCTTCTTATCTCGCTGGACGTGTGGCTATCTGCTTGACTGGAACTTCAGACGACATGCAAAGCGACTAAACATCGAATTGAGCCACAAACGACAGCAGAACATTGACATCCTACCAATCGAGATGATTCGACTGCAAATTTCGATTCCCTTCATATATATATCGTGTTGCACCATCATTGGGTACGGCTGGGCATTAGAAAAGAAGTCCTCACTCGCAGGGATTGAGATCAGTCTTTTCTTCTGCGGACTGTTTTTTTCTGGTGCATTGAATGGGCTTAATACTCTGATCGTGGACACTCATGCGAACCAGCCGGCTACAGCTGTGGCAGCAAACAACCTCTTCCGATGTCTGGTCGGCGCGGGAGCTGCGGCTCTTGCACTGCCATTGATACACAAGATTGGAATGGGTTGGATGGGAATGCTTGTGGCAGGAATATGGGTAGCCTTTAGTCCTTGTCTTTGGCTCGTGTTATTCCATGGAGCGAAATGGAGGCAGGACCTGAAAGTGAAAAGGGAGAAAAGGGATGCTGAGCAGCAGCAAGTGGTAAATTCAACGTAGGGTGGAAGTTCATGAATCGCATGGAACGGCCTACCAAAAAATCAACCAGATGACATATCTAATATCCACTCCAGCTTGACCAGCTGGCATCGGTCAAGAGCATTAGACTAAGTAGCAGGCATTCATGATAGACACAGCCATTCATCATCGCTGTAAGACGATGGGCCCTCGAAGCTGTTCTGTATTAAATCAATTTGGTGACACTTTGTGTTCCTCCATGACCACTAGCATCAGCCAAGACATGTTGTCGATCCAGTACCCACGTTTCAGTGGACCAGCCTTCCGTCTTAGGTTAAGTGTGCCTAAAAACGCCACCATTCCCACCCGCCGACGCCGTAACACAAGGCATCTTGCAGGCCGCCTTTGCGTACGAGGCAGAATTTCTCTTCTGCACATAAAACAGTTTGTGAGGCGGAGGCAGTGGATGCTCAAACACCTACAATTCGAAGGGCTCCTCTTGAGGATTCTGTGAATAGTCGCCCAGTCACAAACTTAACGGGAGCGTCACACACTTCAGATCACGTACCGATGACAGAATGTCAGCCGACCGTGCGTGGTACGCTCCGGGGCCCGGTGTTCCCCCTCCGCTCCCACCCCGGAGCCCTCGGCCGGCGCAGCCGATGAGTTATTCTCCGGCTTATTATGCTCAACATGGCTCATTGCCGCCGCCTCCTCCCGGACCTCCACCCAGGAGTCCCGGCCTGGCACCTGTTCACAGCGATGTACCACCTCCTATTCCTCCGCGGCCGCCTGGGTTTGAAAGCCCAGCATTGAGGGTCCAGGGTAGCGCATCTACTCCTGCAGCACCACCAGGAGTACCTAGTAGTCACAGTATAGCCTCCTCAAGACCAGTGATGTCAGCAAACTTACCTTGGCTCTCACAAGAACCGGACAATGCACCGTTTTATCCTCAGCCAGGAGTACCTTCTACGTATAAATCCGACGCACCAGTTATATACCAACCGCCGGAGCCGACTATAGGTCCCCAGTCTGGCGGTCCTTTGATGCAACCATCTGGTCTTTCACCACAAGTCTCGCAACCCCAAGCTTTAATATCCGGGGTCGCAGACAACTTCTCGAAACTAAATGTCTCCGAGGGACCGCCCATTACATCTTCAAATGCCCAACAGTGGGCTTATGGAGGATATCCGCCGCCACCCACACATACCCCAGGGACTTACAATACCAGCTCTTCCCCTGGCACCACTCACTCGACCATATCCCCGAGTACAGCGTCTGGAGCAAGCTCGTGTCAGACAGATAGCTACCCCCCACCAT